TTTATATTTAAAAATCTGTCTGACACTGAAAATCCGTTGTATTGTAAAATTCGTTATATCAAAATTCGCTGTAGAAAAAGTTGACTGTACAAAGAAAAATCTACAAAAAAAGTCATTTCCAATTTTCTTATCTTTAATTCCAAATAATAATTTTCCTAAAAAAGAAAAAAAAAGAAATGTTATAAAAAATCTATCTATAAAATCATTTCCAATTTATTTATCTTATCAAAATAATAATTTTCTAAAAAAAAAAAATAATATTAATAAATTTTTATTCAAAAAATCATCTTTAATTTACTTATTTTAATTTCAATATATGAATTTTTCTAAAATTACAAGAAAAAAGAAAGGAAAATAATATAAATTCACACAAAAAGTCACTTCTGATTAACTTACCTTAATGAATTTCTAAAAAAATAAATAAAAAATAAAGAGAATAATTAAAAACCACCTAAAAAATCATCTTTAATTTACTTATCTTAATGTATTCCTAAAAAAAATTAAAAATAATCTAAAAGCAATTTCTGATTTATTTATCTTAGTATATTTCTAAAAAAAAATAAAAAAAAGATTAAAAACCATCCTAAATTCATCTTCAAAAGCTTCAAAAGGCTTATCTTAGATTTGAAAAGAGAATTTCTTTAAAAAATATAAAGAAAAAAATTAAAAACCATCTAAAAGTTGCTTTAGATTTACTTACCTTAATTCTTAGAATTTTTCTTAAAAACAAGAAATATAAAAGGTAAAGGTAAATTTTTACTTATAAAATTACTTATGATTTATTAACTTATTTTCAAAATGAGAATCTTTCTAAAAAAAAAGAAAAGAAAGAAAAATCCATTTAAAAACTCATTTTCAATTATTATTAAAATAAGAATTTTTCTAAAAAGTCAAAAAAAAAAAAAGAAAAATAATAAATTTTTATCCAAAAAGTTACTTTACTTCCAAATAACTTATCTTATTTTTGAAATAAGAATTTTTCTAGAAAAACAAAGATAAAATCTTCAAAAAAAAAGGAAAAAGATTAAAAAAGGAAAAATTTTTTTCAGATTAATTCAAAAGTTTATTAGATTTTATATTGTAAACTGAATAGAAACTTTTGATTAATCTGAGCCAATTGGATGGTTTTGTATTGCATCCATTAGAGAATAATAATTTGATTATTTCAATCAGATAATTTTTTATCATCCAATTGGAATAATATTAAATTATTTTAATCAAATGATCATTATTCCAAAAAAACGATTTTTATCATTCTAATCATTTAATAAAAATGATAATCTATCATACTTTAGCAGGATTGGAAAATACAGTATTAGTAAAATGATTAGTACAATTAGTACAATTAAATACACCATAATAATTAATATAAAAATTAGTACAAGTACAGTATAAATATAGTGTTAATTTTATCTAGTACATACAAAATTCCTAGCCCTGTTTTTAGAATGATTTTTTGATTATTAATAAGAATAATGATTTATTATCCCTTTGGAATAATTTTTTAAATCATTTTTATTGAATGATAATCTATCATTCCTTTAGGATGACTTTTTTGATTGTTCAATAAGAATGATATATATCATTTTTTAAGATGATTTTTTTAAATTGTTCAATAAGAATAACATCTATCATTCCTTTGGGACGATTTTTTAAATTGTTCTTATTAAACAATAATGTATTATCTCTTTAAGATGATTTTTTGATCATTTAATAAGAATGATAATCTATTGTCTCTTTAGTTTTTTAAATTATTTAATAAGAACAATGATCTATTATCTCTTTAGGATGATTTTTTTGATTATTCTTTTGGAATAATTTTTTGATTATTCATTAAGAATAATAATCTATCATCATAAAGTGACAATTTTTCTTTAATCATTCTTATTAAATGAAATTTATCATCCCTTTAAAATATTTTTTTAATTGTTTTTATTGAATGATGATATATTATCCTTTTGAGATAATTTTTTAGATTCTTATTAAACAATGATCCCTAAAGAATATTAAGAATGATATCTATCATTCTATTTGAAATGATTTCTATTGTTCTTTAAGACGATTTTTTCAATCAGACGATTTTTGTTATTTTCTGATTGAATTGATTTTTGACTTGATTCCAATTGAGCATAATTTGCTAGAAAAATGAGGCTCTGAGCATTTTTTATTAAATTTTAATTTTTATTGCATTTTAATCTAACATTATCAAACAATAAAAATTAAAAATGCTCTTTGAGATACTCTAACCATTTCCAATTTTTAACAAGGTATTTCTGTGATTTTTTTGACTGAATTTTGGATGTTTTAAACGTTTTTTTAAAGTAATAATAGTAATAATAGTACAAACATTTGTGCTCATGAAAAAGAAATATATGTCATAGTTTACTTTATTTTTCATATTTGAATTGAAAATATAAGTTATAATCTTGACATTTATAAAAAATTATATCTTATAGCGATGTTCTTTATTTTACTATATTTAGGTGAACGATTATTTATAACTACTTCAAAAGATAATTTCTTATTTTTTAGCTATAATATTGTTGAATTAAAAGAAATACACGTGATTAAAAAAATTTGCGTAGCATGCACATGGTAAAATTTTTTTGTGCTATATATAACAGATATGAGCGAAAAAAAAGACATTAAGTGAAATATAATGAAAAGAAAAGCATAAACAATGCAATGAATTGAGGCACTATTCTATTAATGCCGATGTGTTTGTGCACCTAATTTAGAAAAGCTATCATGAAAATGAATAATTCTGTCAAGGAGGCGAAGAATGAAAGTCATTGGAAAAGCTTGAAAAATTGGAATGATAAAGATGCAAATAACATTACCAGATATGGAAACGATCTACTTTGAATTTGAAAGTAGATTATTGATAAACTCATTCTTAGGACCGTTTGAGTTTGAGGAATCAATATTAAATTGTGAGCAATCCTTGTTGCACTTAACGTTCACTACAATTATGTTGGCTGCTGTATCTGGAAATACTGGGGTTGAAGAAGTGTCCGGGAGATGAATATTGATCCTAAAATGTTCGGCATATTTTCCAGCTTGTGTTACAGGACCATTGAAATCCGCTCGAGATATCTTGTTGAACTTTAGCTCATAGCCGGCCCATTTCTCATTATGTTTGATCACCAATAGATCAAGTTTGTCCTGGCTCTTGGCTTTCACCTCGAATAAGCACATCATCCCCGTGGGAAGCAGACCATTGAAAGCAGCATAAAGCGCCGCTTGAAAGCTCGCTTCAGCAGGGCCATCCTTGTTTTTCACTAATTCGCAGGCGATCGTACGGGGAGTAACGTGCTGTAATCCGTATTTTATGAGGTCTATGGGGGTTCTCAGAACTCCCTCTGATAAACGATTCTCTGGTCGTGGCCAGACAGCTTGAAGGCAGACACGTAAGATGATGCAACTTGTAAAACGGATCTTTTTTTTGTTGACGGGCACAAGGACGCCAATATTGAGTAGATCTTGGTAGAGAGGGTTGAGATGGTCAAAGTCTATCG